TGCAATTTTCTTTTTTGTGCTGACAGTTTATCTTTAATATTTCAATATCATTGTTTCAACTTATGATTGTGGAACCTTGAAGCATCTGTACTTTGTAATGGGGAGTGAACCAGAATTGTCGAGGTTCACAATAATATTTTGATTTTCACATGATGTCACACACTTAGAAACCGCGTTTGATGTGCGTTTCTGAGACACCCACTGTTTTGCCTTCATGTCATGTAAACACTATCTATGGGTTTTAATGGATACTTTTTCATTGATCCAGGTGTCCAAATACTTAGAAAAACTATCTGGTATTTCCTGTAATTTGTGAACCATGAATCTTTACTAGCGTAGGTGAAGCAAGTGGACAATGGTGGAAAATGCTTAAAGTAACATATGTAAAGAGTGCAGCAAAGTATTTTTAAAGTTTAAACTCTGTTTTTTAATACTAGGTGGGTAGGTTGAAAGCCAGATGGTATTTGGGTAAAAAATGGAGTAAAAATAATTGTGTTTTTTTTAACTGAAAGTGATTCAAATATTTTGGACTAAGAAGACAGTTGGGAGATTGGGTGATGGTTATTATTAATTCTGGACTGACTAATGCATCTTTTGGTAATTTAAGACAAAATTGTGAAATTAAAAACATGATCAATTAGTCTCTGTGCTTAATCCATCAGTTTCTATTTCATTATGGTTGTTTTCAAATGTTTTGCATTAAAATCCCTCTAAACTTCAGATGGATCAAACCGAGCTTCTAGTCACCATTTTATTACGAGACCTTTCCATAGATGAAGGCATTACATAGCTGACATATTAAACTGTGTTCACCATCCTATGTTAGCGATTTGCATGGCAAGCATCTCGAAACCAAATGTCTCCATGGGTTTTTCCACAGAATGTAGATTCATATCTCAACTGTGACATTTCCAAATGACTGCCAACTTTCTCAAATCCAAGTGTGACAGAAGTTGAAAGCTCAAACGGATAAGACAGCCACTTTGCTGTGTATTCTTCACTTTTTCATTAATCTCTCTCTCTCTGCCTCTCTCTCTCTCTCTCTTTCTGCCTACATGTCTTGACAAGTCAGAAATTACGGTTTCCTTTTAAATAGCTTCTTGTGTCTCAGTGCTCAGCTTAAATACCTCGCTGACACTTAAGATGTCTTTGAGTCATCTTCACTCAGTAACAACACACACAATGAGGAGTGTTGTTATTGCAACCTAGTAATTCTTACTTATCCTGTGTTCACTAAAAAGCTTCCACCAAAAAAATTCCTTTGTGCATTTTTATTTTAATTAGGGAAAACCTCCCTTAGAGGACGTGTATTTGTGGTGCTTTCTGTGTGTTTCGAATTTACATAGACAACAGCAGCAACCCCCTCGCCCCGCACTGGAGAGAAAAAAAAAACTACATGCCTGGAGACGTGCAAATAATCGTCCAATTGGGCTTTTCCTCAGATTTGGGTACTACTGGATTATTCCTTGTGCAAGGATTATGGCTGTAATCCCTTTTCCAATCTGAGTTAATTGTATGGAAGTGTAGACTGTGTCAGACTGCAGACCATGACAGGCAGGAGCAATCTGCAGTCAGTCTGTGAGATCCTGTCTGGACGGCAGCGTGGGGAATTCCACCAGCAGACGGACATAGCTGGAGGTCAAGATCTGTTTTTGTTACAAGGACCCGGCTTTGAAAAACTGGTGTCTGTCTTCGAGCAACCAAAGTGACCCATTTAGAAGCGACCCCGCGCTGACTGAGAACCCCATGCGGATGGAGTCCTAACTCCAGCGAAGTGAGGTGGCGTGTGGCCGGAAGCCAGTCCTCTAATGGGGAAAGAGCTCTGTCCTAAAAAGCGAGGGGTGAGGGGCGGAGGTTGGGTCTGAACTGTTGATCCTTCTTTAGAGAACTGTTGAGCTGTGCGAAGCGATCCCGACAGCACCTCACTCTCGACATCTCTTATCCAAACCCGGCGGACGCTGTTCCCTCTCCTTTCTCTCTCCCCTTTCTGGGCGTGTGAATGAGAGCCATTGTCTGAGGCACGCTCCTGCCCTTAGGCCGCCCACTTCCAATCCTGTTCCTCCTGCTCGTCTTGCTCTCCGCTGCCACTGGGCTCAGACCAGATGCAGAGTCAGCTCCGGTGCTAACCGTCATCAGTAGCTCTTCCTGTTCAGAGCAGAGTGGGGTGTACTTTGTATCTGTGTGCTGGGCTGTCGCCAGCAGCATCTGCTGCACAGCACTCACACACACACACACCCACCCCCTCTTCCAGAGCTCCCCTAAGAAGACTTGGACAGTCTCCTGGACCCAGTGCAGTCAAGCATGGAGGCTGAAGCAAGCAGAGGGGGCTTAGAAGGGGAGCTGATTGCTCGCATGGCTAAAAGACAGGAGAGGAGGCGTCAAGAGCTGCTGGCGTTGGCTCTGGGAGTCAAGATTGGGTGCAAGGGAAATCTGCTGTGGAAGCCTATTAAACTGCTGGCCTCCTGTCCACAGATCTCCTCACCTGTGGTGCGACGGAGTGCCTTGAAAGACACGCCTGAGAAGCTGAGCTCCTATGAAAAGATTCACAACTTCAAGGTAAGCAGCAATTTTTGTGAGAGGAAACAAAATGACTTTTTTTTTATTTTTTATCTGCTTCATAATAGTTATTTATAATTTTAAATTCTAATAGTTAACTTTTTTTTTACTATATAAATAACAAAGACTTTTCAACATTTAAAAATTTTGGTGAAGAAATCCTGTGGATACGTAGGACATACGACTTTTTAAAACCTGTTAAAATAGGTTTTCGTTATTAAGCTGTTTTTATGTTTAATGTGAATATATCTGGTACAATTCAACTGACAATCGTGGAAGAAATTGTGTAATAATGTTGTTTTTACATGTGTATTCAGTGTCTTTATCATCGGTTTATAAGCATGCCACATCTTAACCTTGATAATATCGTCGGTTCATTTTACCTTGCAAAAGTCCTCAAATTGTCAAATTGCGAGGACATTTCTTTGTGCACAGACGCTTTGAAGTGACCCAGTATTATAGATACTGGCCACTACTCTGGCCATGGCTTTTCCAAAACATCACTTTTCCTCTGATGATGTCATCCTGTAGCTGATTTGAATGTATGGTGATGTCAACAAGTCTCGATGCTGATTTGGATGTATGATCAGACCAACAGCGGTGCTGAAAAAAATAGCTTTCAACAAACATAAGAAGGTTTGGAGTCAAAACTCACTGGTGTTTTGACCCAGCAGTTCACTAAAAACAAAGTCCTTTTGAAGAAGTATCCCTCATCCAGCATCATGCTGCCACCACCATGTTTATCAGTGGGTATGGTGTTTGTAGTCTCTCTGCAAAAAAAAACGACTCCAGCTAAAGAAAGCGTAATCGTTCATAACGCTAATGATTAAGGGTTTTGAAACTCTTTCTGAGACAGATGAAGTTTATTTCAGCTCCATCAAATTTTACTGATAGTAGCAAGTTTGAAATCAAGAAGACTTGATGGCAAACGTTTTATATTTCAACAAACTTTTAGTTTAAAGGAACAAAGTTATCTTACCCTGTTTATTTTACTTTTTATATTATTTGTTGGATATATGTCACATTAAATATGAACGTTAGAAATTATTTATCCTGGTCTTGGTTTTTTTTTTTTTTTTATCTTATACCGGTTTGTGTACACGTCTGGGATCCGCTGTGCATGTTTTTGCTGGATGTTTGCCTGTCCTGTCACAGACTCCAGAATGTATCTGCAGCCATTTTCATGAGAACCCAACCAGCTGACACTCATATGCACAGAGGGGAACTAATGGATGCACTACACTACAACCCATTAACAGCAGAAAACTTTGATTAACATCGATTTGAAAGCTTTTAGAGGCGTTTTTGGTTCATGATTCCGATTTGCTGACAACATATGGAGAGTGTTGAAGTGCTGCACGTTTCTTTTTTTTTTTTTTTTTCTGTCAAGACAATAACAGGATACTTTGCCTTTGGTGCTTTAACATTTTAGGCATTACTTTCTTTGGTTTCACTTACTGGCAGTTTATAATGACTGCCACCTTTTTGTTCACTTCTCCTTTGAAGCGATCTTCCACCCACCTGCCACATGCTTTTTGCACCTCTGCACTCCTTAGGTCACCGATACCTATTCAATGTGCGTGTGTAGGTGTGTGTATGTGCATGTGGGGCTGCCTGTGGCTCCTTTCATGATCTTATCTGTGATCTAAGTGTGCAGGGAGGGTGTACATCTGTTATTTTGACTTTCGGGCCTGCCCCTGCGCTTGCCTGCATGTATCCAATTGCCCAGCAGCAGATGCCAGACGCATTGTAATAAATCCTTTAATCTGCCCCGTGTACACACACACACACACACACATGCTCCCAGTCAGTGAGGGGTTCCATCCGGTGTGGTTTTGGGTTGACAGTCTACCATGTCAGAGAGGAAGGCCCCCAGTTTAAACTGGTCACTGAGTAACATAATGAAATTTCTGACCACAGGTACACACCTTCCGTGGGCCACACTGGTGCGAGTACTGTGCCAACTTCATGTGGGGCCTCATTGCCCAGGGTGTCCGTTGCTCAGGTAAATATATTCTGCAGCATTCAAGCTGCGTAACGTTGAGACACGTGAATGTGGGATTACTGATTGCTTTATCTGTAGGTAACACTGGCCTCTCTTGGATGTGTCATTTATAATTTTTAATAGCTTTTCGTAGCCTTTTTTGCATTGTTTCTTTTATGTAATCAGCACTTTCAAGTGAGACATAAAAGTGCTGATTCCTGATGCACCTGTCTGAACAAAACTGATTCTTTTGGGGCAATTCAACATTCTCTCTTAGGACTATAATGGGAATATCATTGAACATTTATTTTTTTTTTTTTCTAGCTGTCCAGAGATAAGTGGTCTTTACTTACTTACTGCTCAGTAGAGAAGAAACTGGTAAAACAGTTTTACTGAGACAAAATTATTAGTTCACATTTACAAACTGTCTTTAGATAAAACAACAACCTCAGCGCGTCTTCTGTAGACATTATAGAGCCTTACATTAACGTTTTGATATTATTGCTAAGATTTCCACATTCTGCCTCTTGGACATACAGGAAGTCAAAAGAACAAAACAGATCAACTCTGTACTCCATATTGTACTCATTTTCTGTTTTGTCTTCCTCCCTGTTTCAGCCTGATTGTTTGTTAGATGAGTTTAAAAAGTCGTTTTCATTTTGAGCACTTCTTACATTTCTATGCTTTATCTGACTTTATTTTAAACACATCACTGATAAAGATTAGTAACTTTGAGCATTTTCCTTCAGCAGCGACTTCAGCACTGAAGAGAGTTGCTCTTATTAGTTCTGCTACTCGTGATATTTGCTCTTATTTAGACTCGGTCATTATTTCTCTGACTCTAGCCCTCTCTTTAACTTACTCACTAGAAAAAGAAAGCAAATTATTGTTAGACATTGTTGCCCATTATTATAAAGATCACTGAGTAACTAAGTCTTGAAAGAACCAGTATTAGTCTCATTTAAACAACACGGTAAAAAGCAACAAAAAGAGATTCAGTGAACATTTAGTGGTATTTAAAGTGTTCATCTAAATCAACAAAGAAAACTGACATGTGCAAGGATAGAAATGGTGACCGTGAACCAGATTTAATACTTTTTACGATAATATTTTGTTTTTTACACAGCATAGCTACTCCTGTGCAGCTTTTCCATTTCAGTATCTTTTTTTTTTTTTAGATGATGCATAACTTGTTTTTGATTTCTCTGTTGAAATTCTGAATTTATAATGTTTATGTTCTTTCTGCCATATTAAATTGTGATATTTTCCACAAACTGAACTGTATGTATGATTTGTCAGGAAGCTTGAAAACTAAAAAAAAAAAAGAAAAAAAAAGAAAATGCCTTATCATGATATTCAGCCTCAAACTTGTATCTCTTCATAAAGCATAGTGTGTTCTGATGATACTGATACACAGAAATCACAGAATATATGTGTACTAGGTCACTTTTGCTACATCGTTGCCCTGTGATTTCCATGAAGATAACGAGGAAACTGTTTTTGACGCATCTGTTAAAGGTTTAAAAAGCTACTAAGGCTTTCAATTTCTCAACTAGCAAAAAAAAAAAAATAAAAAAAATGCAGGTTTCTCATCTTATTTTAAATATAGTGGCAGAACAAAGTGATTGGTTTTATATTGGAGATAATGGATTGTCAGAGGTCATGGGATTTCTTCATTGCTAGGACACTATTTTTAACCTACATCGGTGGCCTTGGTTGCCCTCCACCCAACAGATCGTTTGTTGTTGCAATACTTTCCACGCTGATAAGCCTGAAGCAAACACGAGCATCATCAGACACCTCATGTGTGGTGGGAAACTGGAGAAACTTCTTTCTTCTCTCTCACACTCTGACCAGCCTTTATTTTTTGCTTCTTTTCTCCTCCCTCGGTCTTTCTGCGGTTAGAAATCCAGCAGGGACCCATCTGAGACTTCTTGTGACGAGCGATTTTAGGCGAACACCCATCTTTTACCTTCTGTAACTCGAGCAGCCGCGGCTCTCTCGCTCTCAGCTGTCTAAAAGGCTCAATGTGACTAAAACTACAACAAGAACACCCCCGCCATGCTGTTATATCCGCTATTATCTACCTTTGGCGCAGCATACTGGGACAGCTTAGCTGCAGCTGCGATGTCTGACAGCGCAGTTTATCACTGGCTCTGGGAAAGCTTTTCAAACTGCTGTCTTTAAGCTCAGTGCAAAGATTGTGCTATCTGCTAGAGGCTTATCTCTGTCTCTCTCCCTCTCTCCCTCCTTCTCTTTGCGTTTCTCTCATTTTTTTTTCTCTCCTCTGCTAGATTGTGGCCTGAATGTACACAAACAGTGCTCCAAACTGGTTCCCAGTGACTGCCAGCCGGACCTGCGCAGGATTAAGAAAGTGTACAGCTGTGATCTCACCACCCTTGTCAAAGCTCACAACACCACAAGACCCATGGTGGTGGATATGTGCATTCGAGAGATCGAACTCAGAGGTATGTGCCAAGACAACTCTTAAAAACCCTATGAGCCGTGATCCAGAACTTATTTGACCACCATTTAAAAATGCTGCTATTTATCCTCTTCATAAAGATTTACCTTATATTAAGGTAAATCTTTATTTACCTTAATAAATAAAGATTTATTAAGGTAAATAAAGATTTACCTTAATCTTTAAGGTAAAGATTAAGGTAAAGATGTGTACCTCGCTTTTGACCGAGGTACACATGCTAAAAGATGTACACTTTTAGCATGTGTACATCTCTTTCTTAACTGTCCTTTAATAGCTGAACTTCTAAAATCTAGAGGCTCTCCGGAGTCTCTAGAAGTGACTCTAAGATATTAAAATGTTGACCAGATGTTTCTGTTTCAGCTCTTGGCACATATTTTCTTCTTTTTTCCAAAAGTACTTGTCAAATCAAACTTCAGACTACCTTTTTTTTTTTTACTCAGTTTGTTCTTTGAGCCTTTTTTAAAATTTTCTCATATCATTGAGATGATATTAAACTGTCAACAATAAATGCTGACTGTAAATAAATTTGGTACATCTCAGAGTATGTTTGCTTCTCATGTAACATTGAGAAGTAATCATGTTGCACATCTAATTTAAAATAATTTTGGTCATTTCTAAGGATGAAGTTTTATTCTTGGATGTAAATATTCCCTTTTTTGTGCTTTCCTCACACCGTATTTTGAGATTAAGTCATATCTCCTATGGCTGCTGTCATTAAAGATGAATTGTCCAGGTGCTGCTATGGCACAGCTGTAAGCACTTTTTTGCAGTGGATCCATGTACAATAAAGAATGTAGTAGGAGGTTTTGCAGTGGGATGCTTCAGACATTTCTGATCATCTTTGGCCTTACGTCACCACCAGGTTTATAAGATTAACTGAATAAGTGCTAAAAACTAAAGGTATTAACGTTTTTGCAGTTGTAATCACCTTCACTCTATGCTAGGGATCTCTTTCATTCATGTTTTTCCAAGAAGTGAACTTGAAAACAAGGGTCTGTTTAGTCTCCCATTTTGTTAGAAATCCAAATTGTACATATTTTATCTTTCTGTCTACTCTGTTATTTTGTCGATTATTTTTTTCTCCAAAAAGCACTAAAAAATTTTAAATGTACTTATTTGAAATAAAAATAAACCCCAATGATCCTTGTGTTGCAATGATATTTTCTGACACTGAGATCCATCTATAAATCGTCTCTTGCAGGTATGAAATCTGAGGGTCTGTACAGAGTGTCTGGCTTCTCAGAGCACATTGAGGACGTTCGACTCGCTTTTGACCGAGGTTTGTTGCTCGTGAATGTCTTTGCCTCGGGAACTCTGTAATATTTTATGTCTCGGGGTTTTCACTTTAAAATAAGAGGCGCGTTCCGCGGCAGTTCTGCACAAAGTAACGCTTTCTGGTATTGTGCGGTTTAAACAAGAACATTCAGTTTTCGTTTGTCCCAAATTCAGCCTTTGAACCCCCTGCATGCACTGTTTGCTTCTTGACAACAGATGGTGAGAAGGCGGATATCAGTGCCAGTGCCTATGCAGACATCAACATAATTGCTGGTGCTTTGAAGCTCTACTTGAGAGACCTTCCCATTCCAGTCATTACATTTGACTTGTACTCCAAATTTATTCAAGCTGCAAGTAAGAGATCCTCTCCGTGGTATTTCCATGCCGTTGCTGTGCCGGTGCTGCCTGACGGCGCTTTGATATACTTATCGTTTGGCTCCTGCAGGACTTCCAAATGCCGAATCCAGACTGGAGGCGATACATGAGGGATTGCTGCAGCTTCCCCCGGCGCACTACGAAACCTTACGTTACCTGATGGCTCACCTCAAAAGGTTAGCTCGTGTATTAAAACGGTTACATCTGTAATCACTGCAACACCACAATTTGCCTGAAAGACATTTCCCGCTGTAAGCTTAACTTGTATACACACATTTTATTTACATACATCTTGCTTTTGCATTGCATGCTGTTTGTCAAAATTATGCTTGTTCACATTTAGAGGTTAGCGATGGTATGTGCAGTTGA